CTACTTAATTTACCTACAGGGAAATGACAGCTGGATAAAAAAAACAAAGAAAAAACAAAGGCTGATGGATTGACAGAAAAAACAAAATAAAAAAATGAAAGCTGAAGCCTGGAACCTTCTCGTTGAGGAGAACAAAAAAGAAAGCGGAAACGAAAGAAAAAAGAAAGAGAAAGGAAAAAATAAACTGACCTTGCGCTGCCGAGCCGAACTTCGTCGTCTCATGGCCGATCGTCGTCGTCTTCGTTGCCGCCCGTTGAGGATGCAGACAACTTTCGGAGGAAAGGTAAGTGATCGACAAAACCTTGATTTCCTTTCTCTCTTTGTTTTTTTCCCTTTTTGACTTCGGCTTTAAGCGTGGGGAGCGGTTTTGGACCCGAACCCTCTTTCTTGCGGACCTGGGCATGAGCTGATCACCTTGCGCCCTGAAAAACACCGATCACAACCATTAATAAAAGTAATCAAATAACGTAGGTTTTCAAACGCTATGAAGAAACGCCATGTATCGTACGCTATGGCCAAAATAGCGTAGGTTATTTGGTATTTGCGCTATTTCAAAACACCACGTAACGTTATCTCACCGCTACGTCACGTTAAACGCCATTTTACGCTACAAAACGCGCTATTTTCAACATTGACAAGATCCTATCCATATATTCTGAAACTGGGGAAAGACTTACTGACATGTCTGATATCACAAATGAATTCATTGCTTATTTCAAAAATCTTCTGGGCTATTCTGGTTTTCCTACAGACATTAACTCTGAAGTTATATCAAAAGGGCCTGTTCTCTCCTCTGACCAAGCAAATGTTCTGGTGCTCCAGTTACTAGAGAAGAAATTAAGCAAGCATTATTTTCTATGGATAATGAAAAAGCACCTGGTCCTGATGGCTACATTGCTGTTTTCTTCAAAGCTAACTGAAATTTGATTAAAGATGATCTTCTTCTTGCTATAGAGGAGTTCTTTATATCTGGTAAACTTCTTGGAGCTCTCAACAGTACATCTATTACTCTGGTACCTAAGATCCTCAACCCTAAATCTCCTTTAGATTTTAGACCCATATCTTGTTGCAATTGTATCTATAAAATCATATCAAAAGTTATTGCAACCAGGATTCAAGGGGTTATGGGATATCTGATTAATGAAGCCCAAAGTACATTTATTAAAGAAAGGCTTATCTCTAGTAACATTCTCCTTGCACATGAATTAATTAAGCATTATGGCAGAAAGTATTCAACTCCAAGAGCTATCCTTAATATTGACTTAAGAAAAGCATTTGATACTGTAAACTGGAAGTTTATTAAGGATATGCTTACTGAATTGGGCTTTCCAAAAAATATGATTATATGGATCATGGAGTGCATCAGTACACCCAAATTCTCACTTTCTTTGAATGGTTCACTTCATGGCTATTTTGAGGGAGCTAGAGGTTTAAGATAAGGAGATCCAATCTCTCCATACCTATTTGTTCTGGGTATGGAATACCTTTCTAGAAGATTATGCATGATCAAAGAAGATAATCTTTTTAAATATCATCCGAAATGTTCTAGACTGAAAATCTCTCACCTCTTCTTTGCTGATGATCTGTTACTTTTCTGCAAAGCTGATTTATATTCCATTACAAGACTAAAGGAATGCTTATCAGATTTTAATAGTGTCTCTGGATTAGAAACAAATCCAAATAAATGTTCTATATACATGAGTGGTATTACTGATGATCTAAAAGCCCAAATCTGTGCTCTGCTTAATTTTTCTGAAGGAGTGTTGCCTGTGAGATACTTGGGTGTTCCTCTTATCTCTAAGAGATTATCATATATGGACTGTTCTCCATTGATTAACAAAATATCTGCTCAGTTTCAAAGTTGGCAAAAAAGAAAAATTCTATCCTATGCAGGCAGATATCAGCTGATCAAATCTGTTATATTGGGTATTCAACTTTTCTGGACCAGTAACTGTGTTCTCCCAATCAAAGTTCTGAAAAAAATTGACAGTCTCTGCTCAGAATTTCTATGGAATCACAAAATCCATTTGGTTTCTTGGGCTTCAGTTTGTCAGAGCAAAGAATATGGAGGGTTAGGGATCTTCTCTGCTAAAATATGGAATCTTGCAGCAGCTATGAAGCTTCTTTGGATGATACATCTTAAGAAAGACCTATTGTGGATTAAGTGAGTTCATGGACATTATCTGAGGCACTCAGATATATGGCAAATTCAAATTAAAAAGAATGATTCATGGATGTGGAGGCAAATGCTTAAAGTGAGAGATAAAATAATTTCTAAGTTTGGCAATGCCTCAAATGTGCAAAATATCATCACCAGGTGCTATTTTGGAGGTAAAATTCTGATATCTTCTATATACAATGAAATCTCTCCTCAAAATACTCCTGTTTTTTGGTCAAGAACAATATGGGATGAGTGGCTCTATCCTAAGCACTCTTTCATCCTTTGGCTTCCTGTCCAATCTATATTGCTAACAAAAGATAGGTTGTGTCACTTGAGAATCCTTGACACAAACTTCTGTGTGCTGTGCTCATACCAAAATCAAGAAACCTGCAATTTGTTAAACCATTTGAGCCAAATGTATTTAGGGATCTTCAGACCATATCGGATTGGACAGGTTGGAGCTGGGTGCTACGTTCACTCAAGTTAAACCACTTTTAAAATTTCAATTACTTGAGAAAAGTGAGAATATGAAGCAATAGTAAGTCAAGTCAAGTTTAGAAGAAGGTTTTGGAAGTCGTTTGATATCAATTTGGTGTTGTCCTCGGAATTTCAATTGCAGCATGTTGTACAAAAATCTTCAGGAATCTTGCTCGTGTTCTATTTTTTTGTACATATTGTAGTGCTTTTTGTTTCTCAGTTTGTACCCTCCAAAGGGTAGACGTTTTTTAAGGGCACCCCATAAATAATTGCAGCAGAAAATTTACCCCCTTAGTGCAGTCATTCCTTAATTGTAATCATTCCTCTCTCCCCCCTCTCCCTCTTCCTCTTGCTTTCACTCTCTCTCACTTCCCCCTTCCCCCTCACTCCCTGGCCCTTCTTTTTTAAATAACCCCCCAAGCCCCGCAGCTAAAGTTGAGTGTAGTTACTCAACTTTTTGTTGTTATTTGAAACCTCATAGATTTGCGGATGTAAATTACAAATTTAAAGATTTGAGGCCTATCATAAAACTAAGAAAGAATTTAGGGTCTAATATGACAACTTAATAGAGTTGGGTATTATTTCAAACAACTTAACAGATTTGGGGTGTAAATTCAAAATATGAAAAGTTGGAGGGTCCAATAAAAATGAAGAAAGAATTTTAGGCTCTAATATGAGAAAAACCCAAAAAAGTAACATTTAAAGAATCACTGGCTTGGAAAAACAGTGTATGTGATCCCATCTTTTTGTTGCACACTTGCACTAATTAACATACAAACAAGAAACTGAACTGGTGATTTTCTTAAGTGCTATTTCTAATCATTTGAATATTTTTCTGTCCGATAACAATAATTAACCTTGTCTAGCCACGAGTATTTGTATGCGTTAATTATTCCACTTCTGGAACGTTTTAAGAAGCTCAAGTCTGATTGGCTGCTGGACATTCACTTGTACAGTCACACTGATGAACTCTACACTCTGATTCGTCGTAACGCGATGGTCCATTATACACTTCCTTTCTGTTCTACTCGTCTGAGTACAATGGCTGATGCCTTCAATACTAGCGTTTCTGAGTTGGAGAAAGATCTTGTAGCTTTGATTACTGATAATCAGATCCAGGTGATTGTGGTGTTCATGATTTAATTGTCTATAGAGGGCCCTCATTAAGATCTTTTGCCCTCGTTATAGATGTTGTGGTGTTTATGATCCAATCGTTTGTTGCCGTTGTAGGCTCGAATAGATTCACAGAATAAAACTCTCCATGTAAGGCATGATGAGAATCGAAGGAATGCAACATTTCGAAGTGTACTGGAGACAGGGAAGGGGTTCATTAGGGATGTGACTGCCATGCTTCGTAGAGCCAGTTTGCTTGAACACGAGCACAATTAGAGATCATGTCATTTTTTGGGAGTTGCGACTCTGAACTTGTGGGTGAAAATTATCCGTACAGTTAAGAAACTTTTACCTTGTTATGGTGGTTTTTTTGTACATTGATGTACATACCCAAATGGATACCCGTCTCCAAGCTGAATTTCATAGCATAGATGGGATAAGATTGTGCAGTATTTGGAGAGGTTATGTCCTACAATACACTGTTGGGGATTCGAAACAATCAATCGAACCATTGCCCTTCCGGACCTTGTGTTGAAAGTAGGAAAGTAGGAATAAACCACAAATAAAGATCTAACCTTGTAAAAACAGTAAAAGAGACGAACACACAGATTTAACGAGGTTCGGCAACGTGCCTACGTCCTCGGGAGCCACACCACACAATCTTTCTATTAATTGAAGAAGAAAATACAAGCTCTCAAACAAGGGGTAAATCTCTCTGAGATTCTCTCTCTCTTAGCAGTCAAAAAGCTCTCTTTTTTTGATGTCCTGCAAACCCTAGAAACGTTTGGGTATTTATAACAAACCCCAGCAGAACAGGATTCCTAGATAAAATAGGAAACAGCGAATCTGCGTCGCGGTCGACCGCTTTGCCAAGGTCGGTCGACCGGTCAGAACGACGAAATCCTACAGGGTCTTGTGCACGATATCGGTCGACCGCAGCGATCACGCCGGTCGACCGGCCAGAGCGAAAACTTCTTCTCAGTCTCCTGCAGTGCACGCGGTCGACCGGCTCTGCCACTGCGGTCGACCGCACAGTCTTCTGACTGTTTTCTTCGTCTTTTCGATTGCAGCTTTGGGTCTACACACTTAGACTAACAATCTCCCACTTGGAGACCAAAGCGTCATCAACGAGCTCACCCGAACTCTCCCCTTCTTCGCATGTATCTTTTCCCCCGAAAAATTCTTTCTTCAATCAACATCCCGACGATCGCGCCGATCCTCGTAGTGTGGCTCCGCCTTCGTCTTCTACTCGTGAAGGCCAACTGAAGTTGCGCACAACTCCAGTTTCTCAATGGTGACTGCCTTCGTCAACATGTCCGCCGGATTTTTGACTCCCCAAAATCTTCATTAAGTGCAACTTTCCGTCCTCGATCAGCGAGCGTATAAAATAGTATTTAACGTCGATGTGCTTCGTTCTGGCATGATATACTGGATTCTTGGCAAGATGTATAGCGCTCTGGCTATCACAATAAAGAACTCCTCTCCCTTGCTTCAGATCCAACTCTTCCAAGCACCCGTTCAACCAGATCATCTCCTTGCTTGCTTCAGTCACCGCGACATACTCAGCCTCGGTTGTAGACAAAGTCACAATCTTCTGCAGACGTGAGACCCAGCTCACTGCTGTCGACGCTAAGGTATAAACATACCCCGTGGTGCTTCGCCTCGTATCATGATCACCGGCGAAGTCCGCATCCACGTATCCCTGCAGCACCACCTCCTTCCTCCTGAAACATAGTGGCTTGTTAGTTGTTCCCCTCAAGTACCGCATTATCCACTTTACGGCCTCCCAATGCTGCTTTCCTGGATTGCTTACAAATCTGCTCACAACTCCCACTGCATGGGCGATGTCCGGCCTCGTGCAAACCATCGCGTACATGAGACTCCCAATGGCTGAAGAATATGGCACCCTGCTCATATGCTCTCTATCTGCATCTGTCTTAGGCGATTGCTCCTCAGATAACTTGAACTGACTTCCAAGGGGTGTGCTAACAACTTTAGCATTCTGCATGTTGAACCTTTGAACTGACTTCCAAGGGGTGTGCTAATAACTTTAGCATTCTGCATGTTGAACCTCTGAAGTACCTTCTCAATGTATTCAGCTTGGCTCAAACTCAATGTCCCTTTAGCTTCATCCCTACTGATTCACATCCCTAGAATCTGCTTCGCTGCACCCAGATCCTTCATTGCAAATTCCTTTGCTAGCTGCCTCTTCAAACTGTTTATCTCTTCTAAACACGGTCCTGCTACCAACATGTCATCAACATATAATAACAAAATAATGAAGCTGGACTCGAACCTTTTGAAATAACAGCAATGATCCGAATTGCATCTTCTGTAGCCATTGTTCTGCATGAAGTTATCAAACTTCTTATACCACTGTCTCGGAGCCTGTTTCAAACCATATAAGCTCTTCTTGAGCTTGCACACCATCTCTTCCTTTCCTTCTTCAATGAAGCCAACAGGCTGCTTCATGTAGATTTCTTCATCCAAGTCACCATGAAGAAAGGCAGTCTTCACATCTAACTGCTCAAGGAAGAGGTCTTCTGCAGCTACCAAACTCAACACCACTCTGATGGTTGTGAGTTTCACAACAGGGGAAAATATCTCCGTGTAGTCCACTCCTTCCCGCTGTTGAAACCCTTTCACTACTAATCTGGCCTTGAATCTCTTGCTTCCATCACTCTCCTGCTTGACCCGGTAGACCCATTTATTGTGCAAGGCTTTCTTCTGTGCAGGTAGCTGGGCTAACTCCCATGTCTCATTAGTGAGTAGAGAATCCATCTCCTCCTGCATCGCATGCTCCCACTGCTGAGATTCACTCACTTGCACTGCCTCTTCATAACACTCCGGCTCTCCGCTATCTGTTAAGAGTAGATAATCAAGTGACGAGAGGTATTTGGGATTTGGTTTGGGTACCCTAGATGACCTCCTAGGCTCCACGCCCTGGGTAGTAGCTTCTGCACCTGTAGTCTCCTCCGTTCTACGGTCAGAACTGACATCGTCGCCCCCATCTGGAAGTTCCTCCAAATCCATGTACTCGGATCCACCTGTATCCGTAGTGCTGCTCCCACTGCTTTGGCTATCCTTGGCATTGTCCCTGTCCTTGTACATCACCTCCTCATTGAATATCACATCCCGGCTCCTGATGATCTTCCTGTTCTTCTCATCCCAAAGGCGATACCCGAACTCATCAATGCCGTATCCAATGAATGTGCACTTCTGTGACTTAGCTTCTAGCTTGTCCCTGACATGGTCACTGATATGAACATAAGCCACGCAACCAAATACCCGCAAGTGTGAGAGATTTATCTTCTTTCCACTCCAAACCTCCTCTGGAATCCCAAAATCTAATGGAACTGATGGCCCGTGATTAATAAGGTATGCTGCCGTATGCACCGCATCCGCCCAAAATGTCTTAGGCAGACCTGCATGTAATCGCATGCTCCGCGCACGCTCTGTCAAGGTCCTGTTCATCCTCTCTGCAATGCCGTTCTGCTGCGGCGTCCCTGGAGTAGTCCTCTCTAAGCGAATCCCATTCGTAGCACAGAACCTCTTGAACTCCTCCAGCTCGTATTCTCCACCATTATCTGATCTCAAGCACTTCACCTTCAGATCTGTCTCGTTCTCGACCATGGCCTTCCACTTCTTGAAGATCTCGAACACCTCTGACTTGTGCTTCATGAAGTAAACCCACACCTTCCTCGAGTGATCGTCGATAAAGGTGACGTAGTATCTCGAACCGCCAAAAGAAGACTGATAATCATATTTTATTACAATTTTATACCCTCATTATCTATTTTACATGAATAAATATACCATTAATAATTATTGTTAGATTAGTTTGCACATAATTGAATGAAAATATAAATAAATATTATTAAATGTAAAAACCCCTCAAAAATCTCTCTTCTCTATTTTGTAGTATTTAGAAGCCCATGAAGCAAAAGCTTAAAAGAGGAAAATGATTGAAGCCCAAATAGCAAAGCCCATTAAAAAAAATATATACACCAAAGAGTTAGAATGGACTTGGATGTAAAGAGTGGAATGAAATGGACTTGGATGCAAAAGAGTTTTAAGACCGAACTAATGCATAGTTGGACAAAAAAATCAAGCAAATGATGGCACATCAACAAATAATTTACTCATGGGCCGGAGACTTACCTGCTGATTAAAATGGAGAAAGGACCATGAAATCATTTCTTTGAAGACCAGACTTGGTGGATTTTCACAAAAAAATCACTGCTGCAGACTTGGACCGGACATTCATTTGAGTTGGGCCGGATTGTTGTGGTTGATTTCCATTAACTAGCTCTTCAATTTGGATGCTTTGATTTTGAAGAAATGGCCAGACAAGTTGCTGCAGCTGGGTTTTGAATGGACTTGAGTTTGGAAAATGAGAAACAAAACTTGGGCCGGACTTCTTTTACTTTGTGCTGCAGATTTTCAAAAATCAAAATGGGCCGGACTTGTTTGTTTTTTCTTTTGGAAAATCAATGAAATGAAGGACCGGACATGGGCTTTAATCTAATGGATGTGGACCTTGCTGCAGTTTTCTTTTGAAAATCAATGAAATCAAGAACCGGACTTTGGACTTGAAAATCAAATGCCTGACTTTGCTTTTAATTTGCTGCAGACTTGGGATTTAATGCTATGGGCCGGACTTGGAGTTGTTTTGAAACTCACATGTGCACAAGAGGACATGGGCTGCAGTTGATTTTAATCAAGTAAATGAGGATATGGGCCGGACTTGTTGATTCTTTTAAAAATCAAATGAAGCTGAATAGGCCGGACCTTCTTTGGCTGCTGGAAATTGCTTCATGACCGGACTGGGCTTGATTTTTATTTTCAAAAATCAAATGTGGTCAGAACAAACATCATCACCCCTATCTGGAAGTTCCTCTATATCCATGTACTCGGATCCACCTGTATCCGTAGTGCTGCTCCCACTGCTTTGGCTATCCTTGGCATTGTCCCTGTCCTTGTACATCACCTCCTCATTGAATATCACATCCCGGCTCCTGATGATCTTCCTGTTCTTCTCATCCCAAAGGCGATACCCGAACTCATCAATGCCGTATCCAATGAATGTGCACTTCTGTGACTTAGCTTCTAGCTTGTCCCTGACATGGTCACTGATATGAACATAAGCCACGCAACCAAATACCCGCAAGTGTGAGAGATTTATCTTCTTTCCACTCCAAACCTCCTCTGGAATCCCAAAATCTAATGGAACTGATGGCCCGTGATTAATAAGGTAAGCTGCTGTATGTACCGCATCCGCCCAAAATGTCTTAGGCAGACCTGCATGTAATCGCATGCTCCGCGCACGCTCTGTCAAGGTCCTGTTCATCCTCTCTGCAATGCCGTTCTGCTGCGGCGTCCCTGGAGTAGTCCTCTCTAAGCGAATCCCATTCGTAGCACAGAACCTCTTGAACTCCTCCAGCTCGTATTCTCCACCATTATCTGATCTTAAGCACTTCACCTTCAGATCTGTCTCGTTCTCGACCATGGCCTTCCACTTCTTGAAGATCTCGAACACCTCTGACTTGTGCTTCATGAAGTAAACCCACACCTTCCTCGAGTGATCGTCGATAAAGGTGACGTAGTATCTCGAACAGCCAAGACACACTGGCTGGGCCCCATACATCTGTATGAATCAACTCTAGCTTCTGAGCCTTAGGTGGCCTTCCACCCTTCTGGAAACTAACCCTCTTCTGCTTCCCAAAGATGCAGTCTTCACAAACCCCGACTTCCACGGTGTCGATCCCGGTTAGCTTTCCTTGTGAATGTAGAATTTTCATCCCTTTCTCGCTCATGTGCCCCAGCCTATTGTGCCACAGATCTGTACTCTCCTTGCCAGCTGCAATTGCGAGGGTGTCACTCGCATGTGAAGTGAGGTAGAGAGTTCCCGTTTTGTTGCCTCGGGCAACAACCATCGTACCGTTGGAGATCCTCCACGAATCCCCGGTGAATGTCGAAACGTAGCCTTCTGCTCCAAGCTGTCCCACCGAAACAAGATTCCTCTTCAGCTTCGGCACGTGTCTCACGTTCTTCAAGTTCCACTTAGAGCCCTTTATCTGTATCTGAACGTCGCCCTTTCCAACAATATTGCAAGGTTCATTATCCCCCAAGTATACTTTACCAAAGTCCCCTGCTACATAGTTCTGAAGTAGTTTCCTATTTGCAGTGGCGTGGAAAGAAGCTCCTGAGTCGATGACCCAAGAATCAGAATCGCTATCCATAGCAAGGATCAAGGCATCCTGCACGATATGAGCCTCCTGCTCACCCGCATCCTTCTTTGGTGCTTTACAGACCGAAGACATATGGCCCTCCTGGCCGCAGTTCCAACACTTCCCTTTGATAGACCTAACCTTCGAGTTCGGCCTCTTCTTCACTGATTTCGACCGATTCCTGTTCTGGTTCCCTTTCTTCTGGCTTCTGCCTCTCTGCTCGAAACTTAGGGCTGAACCTGAACCTTCTGATTCGGACGATTTCCTTCTAACCTCCTCGGATAGAATCATGCTAACAACCTCATTCAGCTTCAACTTCTCTTTCCCCGCCGAATTGCTGATTGCCGTCACACAACCTGCCCAACTATCCGGCAACTGCGATAGTAGTAGAAGGGCCTGCACTTCGTCATCGAACGTGATGTCCACGGAGATAAGTTGATCAACAATCGTGTTGAACTCGCTGAGGTGCATCGTGAAGGACCGTCCTTCTGCCATCTTGAGGTTGAAAAGAGTTTTGACTAGATGCACCTTGTTTGCTGCCGACGGTTGCTCGTACATCTTCGCGAGCGCTTCCATAAGCCCCACCGTCGTCTTCTCCTTCAGAATATTGTGGGCTACTGATTTGGCGAGCGACAACCGGATTTGCCCTAGAGCCTTCCTATCCAGTACCTCCCAATCACCATCTGACTCCGTCGTCTTCTTTCCCTTTTCCTTGCCCAGAAGCGGGCGATACAAGTCCTTCTGGTACAGATAGTCCTCCATCTGCGACTTCCAGTAGGCGAAATCCGATCCGTCGAACTTCTCAATCTTTGATTTGCTTTCCTCTGCCATGGCTTTCACACAAATTGCTGAACGAAGCTCTGATACCAGTTGTTGGGGATTCGAAACAATCAATCGAACCCTTGCCCTTCCGGACCTTGTGTTGAAAGTAGGAAAGTAGGAATAAACCACAAATTAAGATCTAACCTTGTAAAAACAGTAAAAGAGACGAACACACAGATTTAACGAGGTTCGGCAACGTGCCTACGTCCTCGGGAGCCACACCACACAATCTTTCTATTAATTGAAGAAGAAAATACAAGCTCTCAAACAAGGGGTAAATCTCTCTGAGATTCTCTCTCTCTTAGCAGTCAAAAAGCTCTCTTTTTTTGATGTCCTGCAAACCCTAGAAACGTTTGGGTATTTATAACAAACCCCAGCAGAACAGGATTCCTAGATAAAATAGGAAACAACGAATCTGCCTTTTTGATGTAGTACAAACCCTAAAATCGTTTGGGGGTATATATAGAATCCTGGTTGAAACAGATTCCTAAACAGATCAGGAAACTGTCTGGGCGATTCGCGGTCGACCGCCGTGCCAAGGCCGGTCGACCGGCCAGAGAAAAATCTGTTTACAGGGTCCTGTGCACATTTGCGGTCGACCGCAGCGGCCACGCCGGTCGACCGACCAGAGCGAAAACTTCTTCTCAGTCTCCTGCAGTGCACGTGGTCGACCGGCTCTGCCACTGCGGTCGACCGCACAGTCTTCTGACTGTTTTCTTCGTCTTTTCGATTGCAGCTTTGGGTCTACACACTTAGACTAACATACACTACACAGGATGCTTTAGATGTTTTAGTTAGAGCAACCTCCTTGTACAAATACGACATCTACAAGTTAATTCTGAGAACAAAATACCATTTCATTTGTTGTTTTAGATGCTCAAATGTGTTTTTACTTTTAACAGGATTTGTGCGGATAACTTTCTGAATATGATGAACTAATAGCAGAGTTCATGATAAGAAAAAAGTAGAGCTTTAGCTTTCTTCTCTACCTCAGTGTTGAATCATGTCTGATGCATTTTCCGAGTATGAGGAGATTCAGGACATTTCTGAGTTTTTTCTTGGGAGTTATTGGACAGATAGATAGCTATATCCTTGGGATTATCACCGTCCATTTGAAATAGCTCCGTAACTAAGAAGATGAGAGTTAGAAAACAGAAGAAAAAAACATCACGGTTTTCTAGACCGTGTTGCCCATCTTCCTCCAGTCGGCTCTATTGGGCTTGTGTGAACGCCATGGCCCTTCTGTTCCTAGGCTCATTCGACATACTAAGAAAAAGACTTAACACTTTTTTAAGTACTCCTAGCTCCTTCACATTTTTCTATATGGGACTAAAGATTAAAATACACTCAAAACATCGACAACTATCATGGATAAATTATATCAAAAAGAATGAATGAGGCCATATTTCTGCGCCAGAGACAAAGTTACACACTAGCTGTTGGGAATTTAACGCTGAAACCCTAATTGCAACAGAAACGCAGAATAGAAAAAGTACACCAAGTTTTAACGAGGTTCGGCAACTGCCTACGTCCTCGGGAGCCACACAGATAATTTCTTATTAATCAAACAAGAAATTACAATTTAGGAGCGGATCTCAAAACTGAGATTTCTCAAATAAACACTGTAGCTACAGTGTTAATAATTAAAGGGTATGAACCCTTTCAATTCTCACTTGAGAATAAATACCCCACAATTAAAACCCCTCTTTAAATCTCTATTTCTCTCTCTTCTTTAATCCCCTCAACCACTGTTGAGTGTTGGGATTTAAACACAAAATCGCAGCTGCGATTTGGGGGTTTTCCGCCGCCGCCTGGGAAGAAAAATCGGAGAGAGGGGGAAGGCTCAGCATAGCCAAACCCTAGGCTGGAGTGGGGGGTTTTATATGGAGAGAGGATGGGCTGGCGATAGCCTGTCGCCAGCGACCGCTTCGACGCCAACTTCGAGGGGAACACAGAGTTGAGAGGGGTGGGTTCGAACGCAGAGTTCGAACGAACGTAGAGGTCGGCATCGTTGCGTTCGTCGACTTCGCCTGCGTCGTCTCCGCCATTCTCGAGCTCGTCGGAGCTCGTCGGAGCTCCTCCGCCGTCGGAGGTTTGTTTCCACCCCCAATTCTAACACTGGCGGCGAGATACATTTTAATAGGCGTCAGATGCTAAGTTTGAGAATAGAGAAAGGAGAGAAATTGAGAGAAATTCTCTTTTTGTATTTCTGCGTATGCCTTGCGGCTGCTGCCAATATAAATACAAAACTAGGTTAATGCTAGCTAAGATTAGTTAGGAAAACTAATCTACAAAACCGGAAACTAAGATTAGTTAGGAAACTAATCTACAAAACTGGAAACTAAGATTAGTTAGGAAAACTAATCTACAAAACCGGAAACTTATACAACTATATATTCCTAAATATATGCAACAAGATATTTATGAATAATATGCCTAATACTCCCCCTCAAGTTGGAGCATGAAGATATCGAATGCCTAACTTGCGAAGAAGTACCAAAAACTGTGATTTTCCAAGGGCCTTTGTAAAGATATCCGCCAATTGATCACCCGTTCGTATGTATGACGTAGCAATATTACCCGCCTTAAGCTCATCTCGAACAAAATGACAATCCACCTCAATGTGCTTCGTACGTTCATGGAATACTGGATTTGCTGCAATATGTAAAGCCGCCTGACTATCACAATACAGGCGCATAGGTCGATCATGTCGTACACCAAGACAAAATAAAATAGACTTCAACCATTTTAACTCGCAAGTAGTCGTAGCCATGGAACGATATTCTGCCTCAGCGGAAGAGTGTGAAACTATGGGTTGCTTCTTTGTTTTCCAAGATACCGGAGAAGACCCAAGAAGCACAAAATAACCGGTTAAAGATCGTCGTGTAATAGGACAACTTTCCCAATCACTATCACAAAAACCATATATCTGCAAGTTGCACTAACGATGTAGCAAAATTCCTTGGCTGGGGCATCCTTTAAGATATCGAAGAACGCGAAGAGCTGCCTCCCAATGGTCGATCATAGGAGAAGACATAAATTGAGCCAATACATGAACCGAATAGGAGAGCTCAGGTCGAGTAATCATCAAATAGACCAACCGCCCTACAAGTCGCCTATACTTTTCAGGTTCTGAAAACAACTCCCCCTCAACACGAGCTAATTGATGATTTTGCTCCATTGGAGTAGAGATAGGCTTGGACCCTAATAAGCCGGCCTCACTTATGATATCCAAAACATACTTTCTTTGACTCAGAAACAAGCCATTGGGACCTCGAGCCACCTCAATTCCAAGAAAGTACTTAAGGACCCCAAGATCCTTCATATGAAAACAATCACGCAGATAGGCCTTAAATTTTAGCACTGCATCATGACCTGAACCTGCAATGAGCAGATCGTCTACATATACAAGAACATATAATGACACATCCCCCTTTGTATAGCAAAACAATGAGTAATCTGCAGTAGACTGTTTAAAACCAAACAACTTCAGAGCGGAAGATAATTTGGCAAACCATTGCCGAGGTGCTTGCCTAAGACCATACAAAGCTTTTCGAAGACGACAGACCTTACCCGCCGAACCCGATGGTGCATAGCCAGGGGGAAGCTTCATATAGACCTCTTCCTCCAAGTCTCCATGAAGAAATGCGTTGTGCACGTCCATTTGATGAAGTTCCCAATTTCGAGCAATAGCAACGGCTAAAAAAATGCGGACAATCACCATTTTTGCGACTGGTGCAAAGGTTTCATTAAAATCACTACCAGGCAATTGTCTATTGCCAAAGACAACAAGTCGCCCCTTCAGTCGTTCCAGAGACCCGTCCTGCTTAAGCTTAGCCTTGTACACCCACATACTACCAAGAGCGACCTTTCCCGGAGGTAAAGATTCCAATGTCAACGTGCCTTGTCGTTCGAGAGCGTCAAGTTCGTCTTTCATGGCATTACGCCATCCTGGGTGCTTGACTGCTTCAGAGTAGGATTTTGGTTCAACCCAAGTTGTCACCGCTGCCGAAAATTTCCTATGTTTCATAGAAAATTTATCACAGTTAACAAAATAAGCTATTGGAAAAGGCGTACCTGAGGACCGCTTTGGAGGAGATGAACTAGTGACAGTGACAGGAGTAATGGTTTGGATTGTGTTGGTGATGTAGCCTTTTAAACGAGTTGACGGAGTCCGTATACGATGTCCTTTACCAAGGGGTTCTTCAAAAATAGGTTGTGCGAAGCCACACCCGTGCTGCAGAGCCTGCTGCTCTTGCGTGTGCTGCTGCTGGGCAGGCCACGGAGAGGGCGTGGGTAATGCATTCGTGCCACACCCAGGCCGTGGAGACTGCTGGTCAAGGGGAGCAGTAATATGGCCGTCCTCTCCAACCTCATGACCCTCATAACTCCCCCTAACTCCACTATCTCCCTCATTCTCATCAACAACAATTTGTGATTGGCGATGAAATAACTCATTTATACCAACTCCATCAATTGTCACAGGTGCATCCATGTTGTTAAAAGGAAAATTATTTTCCACATAAATAACATCACGAGAGACAAAATAGACCTTCCTCTCCAAGTCATAAAGCCGCCAACCCTTTTGCCCAAATGGATATCCGACAAATATACATTTCCGAGAGCGAGGACCAAACTTATCCTTCACTCTAGGACGATAATTAGCATAACACAAGCTACCAAAAATGCGTATAAGAGAGTAATTCGGAGATTTGCCAAACAAAACTTCGTACGGAGACTTGCCATTTAACACACGAGAAGGAGTTCTATTGATCACATAAGCAGCCGTCAAGACACATTCACCCCAAAAACTCAAAGGTAGGTTAGCTTGGAATCGTAAAGCCCGAGCCACATTAAGTAAATGTTGATGCTTACGTTCTACCCTACCATTTTGTTGAGGCGTATCAACACATGACGTTTGATGTAACATTCCATTTTCAGCATAAAAACGTCGTAAACAGGTAAATTCATGCCCATTGTCACTCCTTAAGATCTTAACCCGTTTATTGAATTGAGTTTGCACCATAGAACAAAAATCTTTGATAATCTGTCCAACCTCACTCTTAGCACTCATTAAATACACCCAAACGGCTCTGGCTCTCGAAAAATCATCAACAATTGTGAGAAAGTAATAAGCACCGCAACTAGAAGCAACTTTGTAATCGCCCCAAATATCACAATGAATCATCTCAAACAAATCAACTGTTTTACTTTCACTAATCGGAAAAACACTTCTAGTTTGATGGGCTATCAAACAAATACCACAAGGTTCCTTAGAATCACAGAAATCATTGCTCTCACTATGAGCTTTATTGCAAGAAATGAAAGGCAAAAGAGACACCACTTTTCGGGAAGGATGACCAAGCCGACGATGCCACAATTCTTGCTGTCCAACCACAGTAGTTTGATTAGCTTGAATCCGCTTCGTAGGCTTAAACCAATATACTCCGTCACATTGTTCACCTGCTCCAATCAGGGTCCTCGAATTGCGGTCCTGTATGATATATAGCTTATCAGTTACTGTGATAAAATAATTCAAGGTAGCAAGTAATTGTGAAACAGAAATGAGATTAACATTCAAATCAGGAACATATAACACATCCTTCAAAATCAAACCATCACTCAAGACAATTTTGCCTTCCTTAATTGCATCAGGAACATATAACACATCCTTCAAAATCAAACCATCACTCAAGACAATTTTGCCTTCCTTAATTGCTGTTGTTTGGTTGCCATTTGGTAACCCAACTGGAGATGGAGAAACATCATACAAACTTTCGAATAAAGAAATATTCCCGGTCATATGGTTCGAACAACCAGTGTCAATAATCCATTGAGTGGACTTACACTTACCATCATGTGTAGGAGTAGCATCATTGGGTTGAGAGGGTTTTAGCATACCCAACAAATGCTGCCACTGTGCATCCGACAGTTGCACCCCATTGCGATCGGGTGCGCCAATTTGTTGGCCTGATGTGCTGCCAGAGGATTGGCCAACAGCATTGGCCACATTCCCACGTCCACGACCATTGCCCCTGCCACCACAGGTGTATTTGCCGCCACCCCTAGCTGCTGCCCTATTTTCAGAATACCACCAGTCAGGAAATCCCAAAAGCTGGAAGCAGTTGGCTTTGTCGTGTCCGACTTTGTTACAATGAGAGCACGTGCCGGCGAAGCGAGGCTTGTCACCCTCCTTGGTAGGCATTGCTCCACGCCCACGAGCACTGCCTTGCACCGCGAAACCAACGGCCTCAGCCTTCTTGTCACCTTGACGAACAATGGAATGATGGCGTTCCTCAGTCAAAGCCTTGGAAAAGGCCGTGTTCAATGGCGGAAGAGGTTCTTGCATCAGAATCTGAGAACGGACCGTACCGTGTTTGGATGAGTCAAGACCAATTAAAAATTGGTGAACCTTCTGATCTTCCCTTTCCTTCACCAATGCACCCTTCACACCACACTTGCAGCTACAGGTACACGCAGGGGCTGAATAGCAAGCTAACTCATCCCAAATCATTCGTATTTTTCCATAATAGTCGACCACCGAGTCGCCACCTTGTTCAAGATGAGTCAATTGACTCGTTAATTCATGGATTCGAGGTCCGTTTCCAACCGAGAAACGCTGCCTAATATCTTCCCACATATCCCTAACTTCATCAGTAATAGGGACAATAGAACGGATGGATGCATCGAGGGTGTTATGTAACCATGCTCCGAGCATAGAATTCACCTGCACCCATGGAGAATACATCGTCGATTCTGTCGACTTGGGTGGCTGAATCGAGCCATCAATAAACCCAAGTTTGTTGTTCGCTTTGAAAGCATTGCGGACCGATCGAGCCCATTCATTGTAATTATTCCCACGGAGCACCACCGGGGATATAATTCGATCTGTGTTCGAGGAAGGGTGTAAATAATACGGAGATGAAGAATCCACACCCTTGTTAGTTTCAGTGTCGCCCATTGTAATGGAGAATTGAATATCACAAAACAAAACAAAATTTGTTAAATCAAACCTGCTCTGATACCATGCTAAGTTTGAGAATAGAGAAAGGAGAGAAATTCTCTTTTTGTATTTCTGCGTATGCCTTGCGGCTGCTGCCAATATATATACAAAACTTGGTTAATGCTAGCTAAGATTAGTTAGGAAAACTAATCTACAAAACCGGAAACTAAGATTAGTTAGGAAACTAATCTACAAAACTGGAAACTAAGATTAGTTAGGAAAACTAATCTACAAAACCGGAAACTAAGATTAGTTAGGAAACTAATCTACAAAACTGGAAACTAAGATTAGTTAGGAAAACTAATCTACAAAACCGGAAACTTATACAGCTATATATTCCTAAATATATGCAACAAGATATTTATGAATAATATGCCTAATATCAGACTCAAAATCTCAGTAATTGAACCTTTCTTTGGATCGAGAGAACAAGCACACTGAATACTAGTACTGGCCGTGACCACATTTTCTGGTTGGAAGTTAAAAGCAAATGACAAGCTCTGATATGGACCTAGTTAAATTTGTTAGAAGACAATTAAACTGATGAGGTAACATTTTCTGGTTGAATAACGATGAGCTTGCTACGATCAAATAATCTTGCCTGTTTGTGATTAGAGTATCATCATCTTACAGGTTAATTAATAATTGTTTGAAATTGGCAAGAGTGGATTCATATTCTTCCACTGTGATGGATAATAAAGAGCCTACGCTTTCAATCAAATTAATAGTTCATACATTATAACCTTAAGTGAAAACCTAAGATGGAAAGTATCATTAGAGAAGATATCTGGTAGTTATATTTGGCATGAACCATAATTGTTCCTCAAACGTGAAGTACGAATATACAAATTCCTTATCCTCGGATAACTACGACTCGTTTGGTCATGCGTGAATGAGTGGGAATAGAATAACAATTCGCACTTCTCATTCCTTCGTACCAAAATGATACTTTTTTAAAAGATAGCATTTTCATTACCAATTCTCATCAATTTCCACGTTATATGAGAATGGCCCCGGTGAGATACTAAGCGTTGTTTGGTTATGAGAATAATATAAGGTAGAAATATAATGATAATTCCTACTTCTTATTTCTTTGTACTAAACACAACTCATTTTTGGAAGCTAAAATATACATTTATATTTTTTATTCATTTCCACTTTATGTGGAAATGATCATTTCGACTTTATACATTAATAAGATACCAGGAAATGGGCATTCTCATTTAAGTAGGAACCAAAAAAATGCATAATTTCCAAAAATGTTCATTCCCATTTCATTCTCTAACGTCTCGTTTGGTACACAGGAATAGAGTAAAGTGAGAATGGAAAGAAGGTGGGAATGAAATTTAATAGATGTGGGAATTGAATGCCAATTCTCATTCTCATGTGGCCGCGCTTAGAGAATGAAACGGCAATACCAATCTTATTCTCATTCATGTGTTTGGTATCATTTATTCACAAGTGAGAATAATATTTAGTTTTCTAATAATGCCCTTACCAAAACACAAAATTTTAAAAACATTAAAATATGTTAAAAAGGACTAAATCATTCATATTTTGAGAAAATTAAGTTTTATAGAAATAATTTTTTTCACTCTCTCCTCTCAAACCTCCTCTTTTTAGATTTGAGAAATTCTGGTTATCTTTCCCAAATTTTGCTCCTTTCATTTCATCCTGCTGGAACTCCTTCTCCTCCTCTGAGGACCCTGTTAGAAACCTATCCCTCAAGCTTAAACTCATCAAGAAGAGATCTAAATGGTTGTCTAGAAACTCTCTGGGTTCCCTGAAACACCAAATTTCCTCTTCTATGAATCATCTTCACAACCTCAACTCTCTTGAGGAGTCCAGAAGTCTCTCCCCTTCAGAATCTCAACAGAGAGCCTACTTGCAGAATTTCATGCTTCTTCTTGCTAAAGCTGATGAAATCAAATGGAAACAGAGATCTAGAATCCAGTGGCTTAAAGAAGGTGATAATAATTCTGCCTTCTTTCACAAAGCTGCCTCTTTTCATTCCCATTTCATTCTCTAACGTCTCGTTTGGTACACAGGAATAGAGTAAAGTGAGAATGGAAAGAAGGTGGGAATGAAATTTAATAGATGTGGGAATTGAATGCCAATTCTCATTCTCATGTGGCCGCGCTTAGAGAATGAAACGGCAATACCAATCTTATTCTCATTCATGTGTTTGGTATCATTTATTCACAAGTGAGAATAATATTTAGTTTTCTAATAATGCCCTTACCAAAACACAAAATTTTAAAAACATTAAAATATGTTAAAAAGGACTAAATCATTCATATTTTGAGAAAATTAAGTTTTATAGAAATAATTTTTTTCACTCTCTCCTCTCAAACCTCCTCTTTTTAGATTTGAGAAATTCTGGTTATCTTTCCCAAATTTTGCTCCTTTCATTTCATCCTGCTGGAACTCCTTCTCCTCCTCTGAGGACCCTGTTAGAAACCTATCCCTCAAGCTTAAACTCATCAAGAAGAGATCTAAATGGTTGTCTAGAAACTCTCTGGGTTCCCTGAAACACCAAATTTCCTCTTCTATGAATCATCTTCACAACCTCAACTCTCTTGAGGAGTCCAGAAGTCTCTCCCCTTCAGAATCTCAACAGAGAGCCTACTTGCAGAATTTCATGCTTCTTCTTGCTAAAGCTGATGAAATCAAATGGAAACAGAGATCTAGAATCCAGTGGCTTAAAGAAGGTGATAATAATTCTGCCTTCTTTCACAAAGCTGCCTCTTTTCGACGTAGAAAGAACTTCATCCCTCACCTTATAGAAGACAGTGTACTCATTGCTGAAGAAGGGGATATAAATTAATCCTTCCACGCCTACTTCTCGAAGATCTTTCAGCAACCTCCTGCTTCCAACCTGCAGTTAGATTGGGATGAATTATACCCCCCAGTTCTATCAATTTATCTCCTCTCGATCTTCCTTTCTCCCAAGAGGAAATTAAGGCAGCAGTCTTCGACCTCCACCCAGATAAGGCTCCTGGGCCAGACGGTCTCCCAGTCCTCTTCTATCACACCTTCTGGCATACTATTAAATCAAATGTCATAAATTTCGTTCAAGGCCTCCACTCTAACCCCCAATCTCTCCACAACATAAACTTCTCCCACATTTGTCTTATCCCCAAGAAAGATGGTGCTAACTCTCCTAAAGATTTTCGTCCAATTAGCCTCATTAACAGTTCTTGCAAAATTTTCTCAAAAGTTCTCGCTAATAGACTTAAATCTTTTCCGCCTCTCCTTGTGGATCATTCTCAATCTGCCTTTCAGTCAGGTAAATCCACGCTGGATTCTTTCCTTCTAGCGCACGAGATGATTAACTTTTGCTCCTCTGGGAAAAAAGAAATGTGTGCAATCAAAGTGGATTTTTTCAAGGCTTTTGATTGTGTTAACTGGAAATTCCTCTTGTCCCAAATGTGTGCAATCAAAGTGGATTTTTTCAAGGCTTTTGATTGTGTTAACTGGAAATTCCTCTTGTCCCACCTCAAAGCTAGGGGTTTTGGCCCCCGTTGGTGTGATTGGATCCACCACCTTCTCCACTCCTCTAAATCTGCCATCCTGGTCGGTTTTGGCCCCCGTTGGTGTGATTGGATCCACCACCTTCTCCACTCCTCTAAATCTGCCATCCTGGTCAACGGATCCCCCACAAGCTTCTTCAGATGTTTCAGGGGACTTAAGCAAGGAGATCCTTTGTCTCCTATGTTATTCTTGCTTGTTGTCGATGTTTTAAACAAAATGCTATCCTATAGTGCAACTTCGGGGGACCTTGTTGATCTCAAGTTGAAGGGAGAGTTAAATTATATCAGAGCCCTCCAGTTCGCAGACGACACCATCATTTTCAGCAGGGCCTCTCCATCAGACATGACAACTCTCAAAACAATTATGTTTCTCTTTGCTAAACTGTCCGACCTTCATGTCAACCCCTAGAAAACCAATCTTTACTATCTTGGAAGAATTCCACACAAAAGCTCACTTCTTGCTGCCACTTTTAACTACTCTGTGGGATCACTCCCCTTCTCTTACCTCGGTCTTCCACTCAAGAGGGGATCTCTGAGCAAAAGAGAATGACAACCCTTGTTGGATTCTCTTAAGAAAAAATTATCATTATGGAAGAACAAGTTCCTATCCATAGGCGGCAGACTTACTCTCCTTAACTCTGTTCTCTCCTCTATTCCCCTCTATTATATGTCATGTTTCAAATTGCCCCAGACTTACTCTCCTTAACTCTGTTCTCTCCTCTATTCCCCTCTATTATATGTCATGTTTCAAATTGCCCACATGGGTGATTCATGAAATCGATAAAATCCTCTATTCCCCTCTATTATATGTCATGTTTCAAATTGCCCACATGGGTGATTCATGAAATCGATAAAACTAGGAGAAATTTCCTATGGAATGGGAGTATCACTCACTCTAAATCCAAATGCCTGGTTAACTGGACCACAGTTTGTAAGCCTAAACATGAAGGAGGCCTGGGGGTCATTGGCATCTCTTCTTTCAATATTGCTCTCCTCTCTAAATGGTTATGAAAAGCCCTCGACAGGAATACTCTTATTAGTAAAGTTCTGCTCTCTCTTTATCCAAAAGATAATGATAATCCTTTTGTGCATCTCCCAAGTAAGTCAGCTTCTAAATTCTTTTCTGATTTACATAAAATCCACTCTACCTTCTTCAGTCTGGTTAGATGGCAGGTGGGAGACGGTAAGACATGTAGTTCTTGGAATGATAAGTGGTCTAATGCTAATTCCCTTAGTAGTTTATTCCCTACAGCATGCCAACTTGCTTTCTCTAGAAGCAGTTCAGTAAGATCTTAAGGCTATCAGTGCAACTTAGCTTGGAAATGGCACCCTATCCTCAGGAGGGGTATCTCTGCAGTGGAAAAATGCGACATTACCAAGCTCAATGTTCATCTAGATTCTCTCCATGCTGCGCTATCTCCATCC